CTCTAAACCATAAGGTTTTGATAGGTAAATGTCTGATGTGTGTCAGGGATGAGGCCTACCTGCAGCAGCTTGTCATAACGCTCAGCTGAAGTCAGGAAGCGTCCATCCTCCAGCTGCATTTCTCTGTTCTCCAAGAGATTGTTGAGAACCGGTAGAACGTTTCTCTCTGCCTTCTCCAGACCCTCAAGGACCAGAACTCTACCTTGTGTTGCAGCTCTCACGGCACACTAGAGACAAAATTATACAGTAGGCAATCAACACTAATCAGTGATGCTTGTTAATTCTCAGCAAGCAGACAGTTAGGGTATGTCAGGAAACAATCTGAACCTGCTCTACCAGCTGCAATCATTAGTTYTTAGCAAACAGAAAAATGACTATAACTCAGTCAGTTTTCCTGATATCAGGCTAAAGTTTGATGTGGTAATATCTAAGAGTCATTCACAACAAATACTCTGAGAACTAACAGGTATACAAGCTCGGTTTTTAAAAGTTTGGCATACATTTTTGGAGTCAACTGTGTCTTCTAGCAAAATATCTCTTGAACAAATTAACATTTTTTAATAAAACTCAGTAATTACGGGCTGTACATCTAGAAATCAGAAATGTTTGAAACCTTTACAACTCAGWATGGCTGCCACCACCAAATGACACAAAAAACATTCAAAGGGGCAACATCTCAAGTCAGTTTTAAAAAGGTTAAGTTGTGGTAGTAGCTGAGTTTTATCCCTAACACATACTCCAAACTGGCAGCATGGCGGCTCAGTGGTTAGCACTGATGCCTCACAGCGAAAAGTCCTGGGTTTGATCCCTGGTTTGGACCTGGGGTCTTTTTCTGTGGAGTTTGCATGTTATCCTGGTGACTGTGTGCTCCAGTTCCCACCCACAGACCAAAAACACAATAAACTGCCTTCAGGCAAAAGCTCTGAGATCTCAATCCTATCAAACATTTATGGGCAGTTCTGACAGTTGGCCCATTCCTCTTYGCAGTTCTGTCAAGAGGAATGGGCCAAAAGTCCTGCCAACTACTGTGAGAAGCTTGTGGAAGGAAATCTAAAATGTTTTAAGTCATACAGTTCAAGGGCAATGGTACTAAATACTAATGAAGTGTATTTATATTTTTGACTAAAGGAATAAAAATTGCCTTAAAAATTTTCTCATTATTCTGGCATTTAGAAAATAGAAAAAAAAATTGGTGATTCTAACTGACCTAAAATGGGAAAAGTTTATTCTGTCAAGAAAGTTATTCTTATTTCATGTCAGACACTGTGAAAAACTGCATACTGCACAGTATATGTGTCTTTTATACAATGTATGTACTGTATTTATTCGTGTATAATACGATCTCGTGTATAATACGATGTCATGTACAATAAGATCTCGTGTATAATACGACCTCATGTATAATACGACCTCATGTATGTGTAATACGATCTCATGTATAATATGATCTCATGTATGTGTAATACGATCTCATGTATAATACAATCTCATGTATAATACGATGTCATGTATAATACGACCTCATGCATAACACGATCTCATGCATAATACGACCTCGTGTATAATACGATCTCATGTATAATACGATCTCGTGTATAATACGATCTCGTGTATAATACGAT